TCTCTCTGATCTACTTATCATGCAATATGCAATATGAAAATAGAAGTTAGTGTAGAAAGAAGCTGCAGATTGTATCTCCATTTTTACCATAGCTGTCAAAAGGATCAGCAGGCATGTGTTCACATTGTCAGATTCTTCCTGATGAAATTGCAGTTGTTCACACAATGTTTTTATACAAACTGTGGATTTAGCTGACCCCTTAGGATTAACAGATATATTTGCCTTCAAACCTGTCTGGATTGTTATATAATAACACTACTATCTTTAACAAAAATCTGTAAGCCATAAATATATTTGCTTGTTTCTGCAGATGGTTGTCATGCGCACAGCGACACTAAATAGAAATCTTGAATAAACTTTGTAAATATACCTACCACTGAATACCACTGGCATTGGCAAGACATTATGCCCTAAAGGTGAAAGAGGCAATGTTTCCCTTTCTATGAAAGTTCCAACAAGGCTATATTAAAAAAAAAAAAAAAAACTCATTTTTTTGTTTTGGGGAGTATTTCCAGAATTGTTCATAAATGTCTCTCTTTAATGCAAATAAAAAGAAATACAAAAAACTAATTGGCATTATATATATATATATATATATATATATGACAAACTCCCCATGTCCTTGTGAGTTTGCCACATGCTCCTGGAGGAGCCTGCTTGCCAGCCTCCTGACCACCGATTATGAGTCAGACCAGCGACTGTAAGGACCCATATTTTATTCCCTCTGGTTCACCTGGTATGGCACTTTCCATTAGTACGCATAGAACCGAACCCTAGCTCCCTGGCGGCTGTGTCACATGACACAAAACCATGAATAGACTTCAGGGGGACTTAGCCATGAAAGCTCTGGAACTATTTTAGGCGTGAAGACTCTGCAGTTCCTGGTCGGTCCCCAGCAGAACTTAGCCGCGAATCTATGAAACTATTTTCAGCTGGGGTTCCATGTATGTGGTCGGTCAAATTATGACTTCCAGGCAATTCCTGAACCCCTGAACCAATCTGGGTGATTTTTGGATATGTTGGTCACCCGGATTGGGGCTATAAGGGGATGTCACTTTTATGGGGTTTTATGTATTTTTAAGGTACTTTTAGGGTGTTTGGGAAATGTGTTTTTTGGGCTTGGAGATAATTGAGTTTAATACAGTGCTTGACTCAATTATCCCCCATACACAGGGGAGGGATTATCTTGTTTTGTATGGGAGTGTCCCCCCTCAGGTCCAGGGGGAGTGCCACTTGCATGGGTACCTGCATATAAGGCCAGTTGTTGCTGCCATTAAACGTATTCCAGCTAGTCTGGTTACTGGGAGGGAAAAAAGCTATTCTTTAATCACTGTTCCAGTGTGGAGGATTAAATGGGGAAAGTCCTTGTAAGGACTAGAGCTCCCAAGACTGAGTGTCGTCCAGTGCCTGGGGGTGTCTATAGCTAATTCCCCATTCGGCTCCAGGAGTGAGCAGTTCCAGGACTAGAGCTCCCAGGACTGAGTGTTGTCCACTGCCTGGGGATTGCTAGAGCAAGCTCCCTATTCAGCTCCAGGAGAGAGCAGTTCCAGGGCCCCAGTGCTGGGGTTTGTCCCCTGTACCAGCTAGGAAGCGGTCCTTGGCAGAGGTAACCAACCAGGAGTACAGGGAGCTCCATCACAATATACATATATATATATATATAAATATATACTGGGAAAAAAATCAGCGCTCCCAGGTTTTCCACACAGCAATGATTAAATTAAAAAGTGTCAAAAAATGCCAACGTTTCAGTTCCACATGGGAACTTTCCTCAGGACAAACACTACATGTTTATGCTCAGAGGTGACCAGGCAGAGTTACTGAAATTCGAGGTCACACATACATGAACAGAAGTATAACAAAGTCAAATGTAGCCAGGTCTGCTACACAGGGTAATATTAAAGAAAGTAAGGTCAATAACTAAGCCGAGTCAAATAACAAAAATCAGGAACATGGTCAATAATAAAGCATTTACTGTCTCTGGGACCATGACAGGGCACACAGAAACATAGAGACATAGAAATATAGAATGTGACGGCAGATAAGAACCATTCGGCCCATCTAGTCTGCCCCAATTTTGGAAACACTTTAATTAGTGCCTGGCCTTATTTTAAATCTAGGAAAGCCTTATGCCTATCCCATGCATACCTAAACTCCTTCACTGTGTTTACTCTACCACTTCAGGCTGGAAGGCTATTCCATGCATCCACTACCCTCTGAAAAGTAATACTTCCTAAAATTATTTTTAAACCTTTGCCCCTCTAATTTAAGACAATGCCCTCTTGCTGGGGTAGTTTTTCTTCTTTTAAATATAGTCTCCTCCTTTACTGTGTTGATTCCCTTTATGTATTTAATTGCTTCTATCATATCCCCCCCGTCTTGTCTTTTCTCCAAGTTAAACATGTTAAGATCCTTTAACCTGGAACAGTTGCTTAAACTCAGACTTGTAATTAAAAAAAAAACTGATTTACTAGGTCCATATTGCCACTGGGGCAGAAAAGAGGCCCCAAAATTGCTAATTACACCATTTGAGACATTCATTTTGCAAAAGAAAACACATTGAGCTATTTTCATGGTGTGTTTGGAGTCTCCATAAGTTAACCATAATATTTTTAACTTTGCATTTCACATTCATATTACACACAGGTTCATACGTGCGTTTAAGTATGTCGCATTGAGATGGGATGGGGGGAACCTGGGAGTGATGGGAGTCGGTGGTGATGTTTCTGTTTGTTTCCCTAGGTAAAGTCGCCTGGATCGTCCGGCATTCATTCGTGTTCTTGGCCAACAGGAGGGCCGCAGCTCGAGTTCAGGGGCAGCTGTTGGGCTTTCTGAAGGACCAGATAGCACTTCCATGGTTCGGTTATAGGGAATTTTGTTGGGGGGATGTATGCAATGCTGTGTTTCGCATGGTAGCTGGGGGGGGGAGGCTGGATTTTCTAGTTCTTCACGCAGGGGGGAACGATCTGGGCCTGATACCGCATTGTCAGCTTATAAAATGGATGAAGCAGGACGTTAATAGATTGAGGGATATGCTTCCCGGGGTAATGCTGGTCTGGTCCGTGATGGTGCCCAGGCGGCAGTGGCGGAATGTGTGCAACCCGTTGGCTATCGATCGTTGACGTGGGAAGGTGAATAGCCTGATGGCTAGTTTTGTTTAGAAAGTGATGGGGTGGTAGTGAGACATCGGGAGTTGGAGGTAGGGTTGCCTGGTTACTATCGCTTGGATGGAGTTCACCTCTCCGTAGTGGGGTGGGACCTCCTTAACCTGGGTTGGCAGGAAGGGCTGCAGAAAACGCTGTTTCTTCGGGGTGGGGGAGCTCAGACGGTTTAAGGGTTAGTGGCAGGATAGTGGCGGGATAGGGTGGGATAGGGAGCTGAAGAAGAGGAAATAGGCTCCCCATTAGGAAGGTTATGTAAATGGTTATTGATATGTTTGGTAGGTTTTGAGCCCTGTCGGTTGCTCAGAACCTGGTGGGGTAGGGGTATCTGGGTATACCCCTACTATGGTTAATTTATAATAAATTGTTGGCACTTTAAGTGATGTTTATGTTGGTATAATGTTATATATATGTTATTTATAGTGGGGTCATTGCCTTTTATACCTAACGAAAGGATACGGAAGTGTGGGCAGGGCATAGGGCAAAGTTTCTATATTTAGTTATTACTATTTAATAAAGCTGTGGACATTTTACCCATATACCATAGTGTCCATGTCTTATTGACAAAGGTATGTGGGGGGTTTGTCTAAGGTTCCGAATACCCATATGGCGAAGATAAAGCAGTCATGTTCCTTTATTGTAATTTACTTTAAAAAGGAGCATTTTTTATATCTCAAATTCTGATGAGATATAGCCAAAGATAAACTCAAGATAACCACAGTTTGCATGATCTTAACTTTGTATGATTGATAGCTTGATATCCAACAAAATATATATTGTACAGCAAAATACTTTTGTGTATATATATATATATATATATATATATATATATATATATGTATCAAACATAACAGAATTAACACTGAAATGATAGCTTTGCAAGTATAACAAAGACTAGCCGAACAGGATGTGATTAAAGCCTAGTCATTTCTTTCAGATCAAAGTAATCTCACTAGATTTAGTTGGATTTATGAACTCATATTACAATGAAACATTTGATTTTCATTACTAAAGGCTTAATAAAATGGAAAATATGTCTGTCCTAGTAATTTCAGCTATCCTAATGACATGTTTAAAACAAAATGCAATGTATTTTAGTAGACTCCTCAGCACTTAAAACATATTATACACATGCTGTAATTCTGAAATAAAACTTCTGGACCAAGCTATGCTTATTACATGCAAATTGCATTGCAAACAATAACTTTTAATTCATCTATCAATACTAAGAATTTAATTTTGTTTTCCTCCCCATCCTGCTGATTTTGCAACAAAAAGAACAATTTAAAATGCATATTTAACATAGATAGGTAAATCTAATTCCTTTTACACTTAAAAATGTATCTGTCCTTTATCCTTAAATGCTGGAAATATAATAATTACAATATTAACATTTTTATTTCTTGCATATTTTGTCCTCTTTGTATGTAAGACTTTTTCTCACAGGGTGTTTTGTTAACCGGTGCAGGCAAATAGATCCACCCCTTGCGCATCAGGCTGTCTTACTAATTTGGTTCACAATTCTCATAGATGGGTGGAAACATAATGCTGCCATGATTAAGGATCAAGAAATCAAAATTGTGGTAAGTATGACACAATGTTTACGTATTTCTCATGAAACATTTACTTATGGATCATTATATATAGTGGAAATGATAGAGTTTGTGTCAAGTTGATGCTGCTGTGAGAGCTCCCTGACTCGGGACCCGTGATTATAACAGTATAATAGTACAACATCAAATTTTACCTCTAATCTCTGACCCACACAAAGTCACAAAACAAGTCCAATCGCCTGCTTGCCAAGAGCTTGCCGAAAAATTAAATTTCTTCCAACAAAAAATGGCGAAAGCATCTGCGGTACAAGAAATCCAAGATGGCGCCGATGGGCCTGAGCATGAAAGCCCCCCACATGTGGTGGACTCGTCTGTGGAAATGGACCCACTAACCTGCAGGCTTTTTCAGACATCACTGGATGCTCTCTCAGCTAAATTCATAGCTACTTGGCAATCAGACATGGGTGTTCTCCACAAAGACATTCAGGATTTGGGCACCAGAACTTCACATATAGAGGAGAAGATGAGAAAATATGCTGAAGCCCATAATTCCATAGCAGACCCCATGCAGCAGATGTAGACCAGAATAGAGGCTTATGAAGCACGTATGATGGATATGGAAGATAGGTTCTGCCGGAATAACCTCAGGTTACGTGGCATTTCGTAATCTGTGAAACCACATGATCTAAGAGAATTTATCACAGGCCTATTTCGAACCCTGGCTCCAAACCTCTCTAGCGACCACCTGTTAATGGACAGAGTCCATAGGCTACAACGCCCCTGCCACTTATCTGAAACCGTTCCTATAGATGTCATTCTGAGGGCACATTATTTTCACGCTAAGGAGATTATACTGAAAGCCAGCTGTACAAGAACGGACTTACCTGCAGAATATTTTCAAATCAAATTTTTTTCTGCTTTGTCAGCTGCCACGCTCCAGGCCAGGAAGACCTACCAGCCAGTACCTGCGGCCCTACGTGAACACCACATCTTGTATAGCTGGGGTTTTCCCACCAAGCCACTGGTGAACAGGAATGGGACTATGACAATCATCATATCCCTGACGAAGGTTTTGCGCATTTTACACCAATGGAACCTATTGACTTGCTTGCACTATATTTAACCCTGTAACTTTCCAAGACACCATAAAACCTGTACATGGGGGGTACTCTTTTACTCGGTATACCTCGCTGAACACAAATATTAGTGTTTCAAAACAGTAAAATGTATTACAACAATGATATCGTCAGTGAAAGTGACATTCTTTAGACGGGCAATATAATTGATAATTGTTGTGATGCGTTTTACTGTTTTGAAATACTAATATTTGTATTCAGCGAAGTCTCCCGAGTACCCCTCATGTACAGGTTTTATAGTGTTTTTGAACGTTACAGAATCAAATATAAGGCTTGCGTTTCAGTTTTTTCACATTGAAATTCGCCAGGTTGGTTATGTTGCCTTTGAGACCGTATGGTAACCCAGGATTGAAAATTACCCCCATGGTGGCATACCATTTGCAATAGTAGACAACCCAAGGTATTGCAAATGGGGTATGTCCAGTCTTTTTTAGTAGCAAAGTCACAAACACTGGCCAAAATTGGCATTCAAATTAGTTTTTTTGCATTTTTCACACACAAACAAATATTAATGCTAACTTTGGCTAGTGTTTCAGACCAAGTGGCTACTAAAAAAGATTGGACATACCCCATTTGCAATACCTTGGGTTGTCTTCTATTGCAAATGTTATGTCCTCATGGGGGTAATTCTCATTCTTGGGCTTACCATAAAACACATCACAGGGACCCCAAAACATGCAATAACCCCATATATCCTCGGAACCGGGGGATCTGGGTGAACCACATATCCAAAATTCACCCAGATCAGTTCAGTAGTTTGGAAGATGCAGTTTAATGCAGATTCCGTAGAACATATACAGGCTATATGAAAAATAATTACTGTATAATGTGTCCCCTGTTGTATAGTTTAAAACTACTGAACGATGTCTTTGTGCACCAAATACTGGCGAGATGGCACCGTGTAGAAAAGTCCACACAGTGTCTGTGAGTTAAAATGGCCGCCATCCATTGTTCTCACCATGTGCTTCATCCATTGTTCTCACCATGTGCCTCTGATACATGAAATGGTGGCCATCCAGTAACTCCACAGTATGTCCCCAGATGGTTCTTAAAGGGCCAGCAGCAGCATAATAAAATACAATATGCCCAAATACTGTTTTTAAAGGGCCAAATCTCCCAGGGGCCATAGTCAGCAGGCAGGAGGTGGGCAAACAGGCTTCTCCAATGCCCAGTGGCAAGGTTGGTTTCGCCACACGCATGCCCACCGGCTGATGGAATCACTGGGAGGAGCGGCGGCGAGCAGAAAACACCGCCGAGGGAAATCACTGGCGGGGTCTCAGGTAAGTGACCTGAAGGGGTTTTCACCCCTTCAGCTACTGGGGGATGGGTGGTGGGAGGGAGAGGGGACCTGCAGTGCAAGAAAACTGATTGTTTTCCTGGCACTGGAGTTTCCCTTTAACCCCTTAAGGACCAAACTTCTGGAATAAAAGGGAATAATGACATGTCACACATGTCGTTAAGGGGTTAAAGGACCTGGGACACTGCACCCCGACAACTTCAATAAGCTGAAGTGGCCTTGGTGCCTATAGAGTCCTTTTAACTGTGGTTACAGGTAATAATAAGCAATATCAGCCTGTAAGAAATACAATGCCTAGTAGAGAAAAATAAGTGCTTTCTAAGGCAAGCAACAACTAGATGTTGCAAATATCGCACTCTCAACTGGGAGAAATTCTCTTACCCAAAGCTTTTGCTAGTCCTAACATTCTAACTCAGCTCAGACTTTCTGTGCCTGTTCAATTACAGACTTCCCAATACAGCTGTCGGAATCTTTGCAAGGCAGGTGCTCTTGGTAATTTCCTACCTCATGTGTTTTTCTCCACTGAACTAAGTAACCAGAACATAACCTGACAAGGTAATTGGGGGCATACCCAGAATATGCATCTTGAAGGAATGGTGCTGCCATAGTGAACAAAATGTATACATAATACATATTAATGAACAGCACACTCATAAAATATATTTCTAATAAAGAATATGGATTTTGACCCAAAAGAGGGACTGTCTCCCTTAAATAGGGACACTTGCAAAGATATGCATAAATGTGCACACGGTGAGCACCATTAATTGCTATTGAGCATTAAGAGCCTCCACTTTGAAACTTCTCTTCAGTTAAAGGTTCAACTAGACAGGGTAAAGAATACCTGGCATCCATTTAAAGTGGCATTTACCTTTTCAGAACTAACCCTGAAAGATACACTGATCAGCCACAACATTAAAACCACCTGCCTAATATCCTATAGTTCCCCCTTGAGCTGCAAAAACAGCTCTGATGCATGATATGGACTCCGCGAGATCTTTGAGCATGTCTTGTAGCATATGGCACCAGTACATTAGCCACAGATCCTTTAAGTCCTGCAAGTTGCGAGGTTGAGCCTACCTGAATCAGATTTGTTGTTTCAGCACTATAAATGAAGATTTCCTGTATCAGGAATGTTCCTTTATGTCATGCCATGGACTTCGAATCAATTTGTAACACTCTGTATTTCTCCTTTTCCCCAAACCAGCTGGTGAGGAGCCCCAATGGACGAGACAAGACAATGTAAGGTTCAAGGTGACTTCTAACATTTAATAGGCTGCATAACAAGTTATATTCAAGAGGAAACAGGGGTGTTCTTATAAACATTATCCAATAATAACATAATTCATCAATCTTATCTCAACATATCTTATCATATAGCTAGCTTGCAGGTGTAATGGGGGAGCTGAAATAAAAAGTTACTACGCACTCATAAAATAGATATGTTACTACGCAGTAGGAATTACAGAAATAGAAAACAGGAAATAAGACCAACACTCTGAGACAGGAAAGTTTATAGTTCTGTCTAGGGGTATGTTCACTAAGCATTGTATACAGACAAAGTGTATTATTACCAATAGCTGACATGCTCCAAGTTAGCCAACTTTAAACAGACTGGACATCCGGTCATCTGTAGCTTGAGCTTTGGGTCCCTAAGCATTGTATAAAGGCAACGTGTATTATTCCCAACAAGCACATCACACAGATTACTCTATCTGAGATATGTGGAATTTGAAGGTCAAGATAACACTTTGAACTCTTTCTCATTCCTTTAAGCATTCCTGAACAGTCTTTGCAGTGTGGCAGTGTGCATTATCCTGCTGAAAGAGGCCACTGTCATCAGGGAACACTTCCCATGAAAGGGTTTATGTGATTCGCAACAATCTCTAGTTAGGTAGTACGTGTCAAAATGACATTCACATGAATGCCAGGACCCAAGGTTTCAGTGTCTCTGCCTACCTGCCTTCTTACCATGCATCCTGCGGCCATCTTTTCCTCAAGTAAACAATGTATGCGCACCCGGCTATCTAACTGATTTAAAAGTTTGATGGTCCACTTGGATAGCAAAACTGTGATGCACTGTGTGTTCTGACACCTTTCTATCATGGCCAGCTTTACGTTTTTCAGCAATTTGAGATATAGTAGCTATTCTGTGTGTGTTTAGGCCAGATGAGCTAGTCTTCACTCCCAACATGCATCAATGAGTCTTAGGGACCCATGACCATGAAACCTGTTCACTGATCATTCTTCCTTGTACCTTTTGGTTGGTACTAGCCCCTGCATACTGGGAACCCCATAAGACTTGCCATTTTGAAGATGCTCTGACCCAGTCATCTAGCCATCACTATTTTTCCTTTGTCAAAGTCACTCAGATCTTTTCTTTTTTTCTTTTTTTATTCTTTATTTAGCATTGACGTATAAAACAAAGGTTCGAATATATAACAGCATAGGTATAAAGCAGTGTTGTTACGTACAGCAAGTAAGCATGTTTAACCTTGTGTCTAAATAATGTTGCCGTAGCTACTTGGTAATACTCGTTGGGCTACCAAAATTTCAGATTATCCTGTGTAACTCTCCGGTTTGCGAACCATAGTTAATGTTGGTTTTCAGTTTTTTATCATCACAAGTGAAAGAGAAAAAAAAAAAGGAAGAACACAAACATCTTACGTTTATATCTCTGGGTGACCTTTGGGTCCCTACTGCAATCATTGGAGCTCTGATCCCTGCCATGATAATGTTTGTTGTTAAGGTAGATGAACTCCTATCACTCTCTAACTTGGACGGTGCTCCCGGTGTATTGTCTAAATCTTCCTTTCTCTAGCTTTTAGATTATCCGGGCTACTCAAAACATCAGCGAGAGCGCCCTTAAGGGTTTGGCATCTGTAGCGGTTTTGTCTCTCCTACCGGGGAACCAGGTTGGACTTTGGTCACCTGAACCCTGTCGGTTTTCCCCCGAATATATAGGGGAGAGTGTTGATATTCGTAATGAGAAAAAGTAGAGATAGGGATAAGGGGGGGGGGATACCTTGCA